GCCGCAATCCCTTCTCCTCCATTCTCCTCTCGGGATCTTCGGCACGCACGCACACGCGCCTGGCATGAGTTTAAGCCACCGGGTCCAGGACTCGAACCGCGGTCGACTATGTGGGAGTCCAGCGACATAGCCATTACGCTAACTGCTGGTCCCAAGACTGGCATATTTCAAGCATTGAAATGAATGCTATCTTTTTTTTTTTTTCTTTGGAGAGGTTTTTGCTACAGGGCACGTGCGCTCACCAGACAGACAGAGACAGAGAGACAGAAAGCGAGAAATCACCCCCCAGGGAGGATGGCCACACCGCAATCCCTTCTCCTCCATTCTCCTCTCTGGATCTTGGGCACGCATGCACATGTGCTAGATCCGGGACTTGAACCATGATCAGCTATGTGGGAGTCTAGCACCTCAACCACCACGCCACCTGCCAGCCCCCTATACATGTGTGAGTATAAGCTACTGGGTCCAGGACTTGAACCACGATCAACTACATGGGAGTTCAGTGACATAACCATTACGCCAACTGCTGGTCTCTTATTTATACTACTATTAAAGTGAATCTCCCACATCCTATACTTGTACAGTTGTTTCTTAACAAATACAAGTACATTTTGTACTTATCTATATTCATTTTATAGTTTCTTGGAAATAATAATGGTCAAGTTTCATAAAACAATCTTTGTTTTGAAGAATTATTTTATTGAACTTTATTTATTTATTTTAATTTGACCAGAGAGGGACAGAGTAATAGAGAGAGAGAGAGAGAGAGAAAGTAAGAAAGCAAGCCACCAGGTCAGGGACTTGAACTGCAATCAGCCATGTGGGAGTCCAGGACTCTTAACCACCATGCCATCTGCCAGTCCCAATAATCTTAATTTTTTTAAAATGTTTTTGCCATAGGGCATGTGTGCTCACTGGAGAAACACAGAGACAAAGAGAGAGAGAGTGAGCAATCATCCCTATAATCCCTCTTCCTCCATTGTCCTGCTGGAATTTTAGGCACACAGGCACACATGTACCTGGCATGATTTTTCAAGCTGCTGGATCCAGGACTCAAAATGAAGGATTGGCCATATGCCTTATCCACCACACCACCAATAATATTGGTGGCCCCAATAATATTGGCCCCAATAATATTGATGATTAATATTAAACAAAACAAAAAAATACAAATAATGTGTGTGGAGAGCAGCTCTCCACAGTGTGCATCCTGGTATTATATGAAACACATGTATAGGGGGCTGGCAGGTGGCATGGTGGTTGAGGCACTAGACTCCTACACAGCTGACCGTGGTTCAAGTCCCGGATCTGGCAACTTGCTTTCTTACTTTCTCTCTCTGTCTCCCTCTGGTCAAATTAAAATATAAATAATAATAAAAAAAATAAATAAATAAATCTTAAAAAAAACACATATATATACTTGCAAAGCATGAAAGTAATTTTAGACTGCATAAATAATGTAATGATCATCAAGTTCCTTTTCCTACATAGTTGCTTAAAAGAATAATATGTTGGGACCAGCAGTTAGTGTAATGGCTATGTTGCTGGAGGCCCACATAGTCGACCGCGGTTCAAGTCCCGGACCCAGTGGCTTAAAACTCACACAGGGCAAATATGCATGTGTGCCCAAGATCCCGAGAGGAGAATGGAGGAGAAGGGATTGCGGCGTGGCCATCCCCCCTGAGGGGTGATTTCTCGCTTTCTGTCTCTCTGTCTCTGTCTGGTGAGCACACGTGCCCTATAGCAGAAACCTCTCAAAAAAAAAAAAAAGAATAATATGTTTTTGAGTTTCACCATCATTGACAGTTGTTT